ATCTTAAGACCAATAAAACACCAATAAAACAATCTTTTCCTCTGAAAGTGTTCCTATGTGATATGTTCTCAACAGCAACATTGTGCTAAGAAAATACATATAATAGAACAACAACAAGCAACCAAGATCTTAAGACGAGTTTATCCATTAATTAATTTCTAAGCACATATTTTGTACCTCGTTATCCAGTCATCCGAATTTTCCCATAACCCAGTCATTTTATCCATAGACTTCATCGATGCGCAGGGGTTAACGAAATTCAAAGTTGGCATTAAATCAAACACTTGGAATAGATTCCTAAATCAATCTTTTCTTTATGATGAGGTATTCCGACCATAATATAAGTCACACAACAAATTTTAAACTGTTTATCACATTAAAGAATAGTTTGTTTGTCACAATGCTCATAAACTCATTTGGGTAGCATCACTTATGTGAGGTTTTAAAAAACGGGTTGAGATTAGACATTTGTTATAGAAATTTATTAAAACAAAACTAGAGAAAAAAACCCATTGTTAAAACCGATCAAAGATCGGATTCGTAGTGCTAGTCATATGAAACCGAGACGAGAAAAAAATTGTTGTATATTTCAAAACCGTGTCTTCTTTTCTTTGATTAATTTGTTATCACTACTATATTACTTAGTAGTGATAACAAATTAATCAGAGAGAAAAAATACTATTAAATTAATGTAAGACATGACGCAATAAATGTAAACGAGCGTCCTCCAGTAGAGATGGACCTTTGACAAGGCGCTCGCCTTGTCAAAGGTCCATCGCTACTGGAGGGTATACAAGCAATTAGAACATAGAAAAATTTTGAAGAGGGAAAAGGTTAATGTATATGTTATGGACAAAGTGATTAATACGGGCATTATGAATAATGACCAACAAAATCGGGCATTGTAATAAATTTCAATAATTTATCAAATTGACCGGTCATTATGAATACTGCTACCACCTAGTCGGGCAAAGTGATAATAATACGTTGAGGAGTGATCATCCGACATACGTTAGCCAATCAGAACTTACATCTTACTTGCTCACGCGTATTGCATTTAGTACCGAACTTTAAATTTAAATTTATGTGACCAGTAGTTAATCTTTCTTCTTTTACAAAAGTAACGATCATGAAGGAATCATTAAGTGATATGAATAATCGCTTCAACAACCGAATAAAGAAGTTAAAAACCAAAAGGGCTGAAGAAGTATCATATGGTCTTTTAGATATTTTTACAATTTTTGGTGCACCAAGTATTCTACAAAGCGATAATGGCAAAGAATTCGTCAATAATATCATTAAACAAATGTGTAATATGCGGTCCGAGTTAAAAATGGTGCATGGAAAGCCCAGGCACTCACAAAGTCAGGGTTCAGTAGAAAGATGTAATCAAGACGTAGAAAATATGCTTAGTTCTTGGTTGGAGATTAACAATACTAACAAATGGTCGGAAGGATTACGTTTTGTACTACTGATGAAAAATCGAGCGCATCATACTGGTATAAACTGCAGCCCCTATGAGGCCATGTTTGGAGCAAAGTTAAAAGTTGGACTAAAGAATTTTATACCCAACGAATCGTTGTTCAACGTTAATACGGAAGAGGATCTACAGAGACATTTTAAAACTATCAACGAAGTAAGTCAAAGTTGCTCAAACTCTGAAAGTCCGGGTACCGTCCAAGAAAACATTATGAAATATTATCTGATAATGCCACCCTTACATAGCAATATAACTGATGAAGTTCAAAGATCTACATCGTCTTCACGTGAAAAAAATCTAAACCAGGATGTTATTAGTATTACAGAATTGGTGAATGAAGAAGAAACAATCCAAACAATTGATCCAAAAAAAGAAGAAAAAATAAGAAGTGTGTCTAAAACAAGGGCTTTGTTTAATCTTAAAAAGCAAGCAGAAAAAATGATTAATACATCAAATTCCAAATACACAGCAGCTATTGTTGGTGATACAGTAAGGATTCGTGTACCTGATGAAGATCGAGCCCGCAGTGATGGAAAAAATATTTTAGGTGTCGTTGTTGCGGTTAAAGATAAAAACCTTTACAAACTGGGTACCAAACATGGCATATTAAATCTATTATATTCCAGAAACCAATTTACTGTTTGTAAAGAAAACTTTATTTCTGTTGGAGATGTACCGGGTGCAGAAATTTCGCTTAGAGAATGTGCAAGAATGTCATCAATTCCTGATGGCCACAACTATAGTTAATGCTGCTGAAAAATTGGTTGAAAATCTAATAGATGCAAATGCTACCAAAGAAAAAAAATTATGTAATTCCAAATGTCATGAAAATGTTAATTGCTCAAATAAATAAACTAAAAAGCATTTAATTTTTTATATAATTTATACCAAAAATTGTTAATAATACTTTTCGTTAATATTAGTTTAATTAATATAGTTAATAGTACTTTGATATAATTTACAAAAAATAAACATTTATAAATGAAATAAGTGGAGTTTTTTTAATTAAGTTTAAAATTCCGTACTAAACGTTGTACGATACGCACACGCAACTCAGCGTGCCGATTGGCTAGAGTATGTCAGATGATCACTCCTCAACTTATTGTTATCACTTTGCCCGACTAGGTGATAGCAGTATTCATAATGACCGGTCAATTTGATAAATGAATCAATATTTATCACACTGCCCGCCCTATTTGGTCATTATTCATAATGCCCGATTAATCACTTTGTCCATAACATATATACGTAATATATAAACTATACGGGGAATAAAAGATTTAAAGTAGGCTATGTATTAATTTTCATTTTGCTTTAACAATTGGAAAATATAGAAAACGGGGTTAGAATTGGGTAAATGCCGATTTATTGTGGAGAGAGCCGATTCAGTCTTTTCATTGTTAATTTTCCAATCGAAACGTTAAAGCAAAATAAAAATTAATAAATAGACTGCTTTAAATCTCTTATTCGCCGTATAGTTTATATATTACGTATATACATTAATATCCCATATGAAATTCGTCTGAATCTTAATTAGAATAATTCGAGTTCATTCGTCTTCTCGTTTCCTCTATTTTCACACAAGTTTTGTGTTACGGCAGTCGACAGAATAGTACAATTTTTAATAAACTAATTTCTCTATTGAACATTAAAAATCGTCGAAAAGATATAATATTATGTATAATAATTTTAAACATTCATTTCTAACTTTGAAAGAATTAAAACAATCATTTTTGCATTGGAAATTTACAGTTCAGATTAGAATAGGAATATTTCTTAATTAATGCAAGTTCTGTTTTCAAAACAGTCGCTCATTTTTTTCAGAATGGATAATTTCAAGGAATTGAAGAAGTGGCCTACCTCGAGCCATGCCGAGTCCGAGGATGGCGCCTCGTCTTCGCCTCGTGTAATAAGGGTGCATCCGAAAGATTCGATGGAGGAGTCGCATACACCCGACGTCAAACGGGTGGTCATTATAACTCCGGACGACAGCGCCTCGCCTCTTGTCCGTTATCTGGAGCGGCGATACCCTGAAGTCCGGAATAGACGGTGGAGACACGGTCACGCAAGACGGGACTCGACAGAGAGAGGTCCGAAGAAGTGGTGGAAAAATCGGTCGAGAGTAAAAAGCCTTGGTGGAAAACGTTTTTTTTTCTGCTGGAAAGAATAACCTTCTTTCTGCCGAAGCCTTCTTGCACGGACTTCGACTTTCCACCGAATGTGACACAGCCAGTGGCGTAGTGTAGTGGGGGCAGCAAAATTTCACAATAAATAATATCTTGTAAAAATTTGAATCTTTTTTTTTCATATTACCGTCGCACCTACGATTCGGACCGATTGAAATGAGCACGGGGAATAGTGTTACCATCCGAACAGTCCAGGAATCGACTCACCGTCCGGATGAACTATTAATTTTACCCGGCGATGCGGTGCGCAACCTGTCGACCTTTTTTTGCTTGTACGATTTAATCGTATTCACATACACCTCCAATATCAAATAGAGCTAAGTCATACGTTAATCCTACCCAAGTCTTCCTAGTCTACTGTAACTGATTTAGAGCCGCCATGCACTGCACATTATTTTTCGCATTGCAAAATGACATACATGCGTCAGGAACTTCAGTTCGAACAAACCTCACTTGCCGTCCGGGTCAGCGATTTTAAAAAGGTGGCAACACTAGCACGGAATTTTTCATTACTTATTCTGTGACGAAACTGAATTTTAGTCTTTTAAATTGAGATACCTAAATAAGAGGACGACGAAATTTTCCTTTGCCCCGGGCGGCTGACACCCACGCTACGCCACTGGACACAGCTACCCGGAAGTGACGTTTCACTCGGCTACGACTTAATCAACTGAACTTCTCTTTCCATTCCAATGTATGGACGGATATTTTGACAACATTCGAGATTCGTTCTTACACTTTGGTTAAAGTGCATAGAACAACGACAGTGACTTCTACCGTGGCAAAGTGACAANTCCTCGGAGTTTTATATTATATACTGTAATTATACAAGGTAATTTCATTATTTCATAAATAAACCATATAATTTTATTTATTTCTAATTCTGTTAAAAATATGTAATATTTGAGATCAATAAGAATGTAATATAAAAATATCATTTCTTACTCTTATATCTTAATATGAACTAACACTTTACTGTGGAAAAAATACTTGTGTAATTCGATAACACTATGATGATATAATTCTATTATGATATAACAGTGTGTATTCTGTAACATTACGTTTGGTTTGAATATAGACAAAATATGGATGATCAACATGTCATAATTCTTTGCAATTATTATTTCATAATTGCTTTTATTAAAGAAATATTAGAATGTGTTTATACAATATATAATCAAGTATGGCAACATACGAAAATCTTGAAATAAGGATTTATTCATTTTAACGTTTAACGATTATTACCACACTAAATATAAGCGGCGATTTAATATGGGTTAAGAAAAATGACGAAAACATTAACGAAACGTATAAAAATACTATTGCTGGCTTACCGTACGATTCAGACATAATTGATTATATCAATAGTGTGTTTGCTTACAAACTCTTCAGTTATTAACGAAAGTATATATCTCCATAAAAACAAAACTTGACAAGTCTCTCAGTTCCTTCCGTTATATTGACGTCATTCGATCATTGATTCGGTCCACCTGGAGGACGTATTTATCAATATTATCTTTCTTAATATACAACATTCGATAAATTTCATTTTGAAAATACTTACTATAAACATTAGAAGTTTGCGATTATTATAACTAACATTCTAATAATTTATAACAATAAGTAAATTCTGGAAAACATATTAAAATATCTGTGGTTTTACATGTAAATATACTAAATTATTTTACGTTATTCCGCTTGGAGGCCTGGCTTCCGTTTTTCGGGATTTCGGGCTAAAGTTATTTATACAGTCGACCCCCCTATAACACGGGTTCCTATAGTTTGGATTCATATATCACCGCGAAAAAATTGCGACAGTATTCGTACAAACATGCTAAAAAAAACTCCTATAATTCGGTAAAACGTCATCGCCGACTCGTGTCGCGACAGGATTGCACAAACCGTTGAGTTTAAACGAGCAACGGACCTACTAAAAACCATTTATTATTTAGCGGCCATAAAAATTATATTTATATTAATGATGTCTCCAAAATTCAGCAAATTTTTCTCAGAAAAATAATTTATCAGGAAACACACGCCTGCCATTCAATGCACCGCTCCACAACAAAAACAAGCTTAAGCAANTTTACTATTTGAAACATATGAACTGATTATACTACACAAAGTTGCCGAGAGGGGATAAAGACTGCTCTTTCCTCAGGCCACATACTTTATCGGGCTCTTCAAAGCCTAACCAATAAAACAAAAAGTGATAAAAACCTACCTAAAAAAAAAAAACAAAAAACAGCGCAGCACGAGAGTAGACTATAGATTTTTGAGTCTATCTCGCTCCTGGAAACCTCGCTTAAATCGGAATATCTTAAGACCAATAAAACACCGTCCACACCAATAAAACAACCTTTTCCTCTGAAAGTGTTCCTGTGTGATATGTTCTCAACAGCAACATTGTGCTAAGAAAATACATATAATAGAGAACAACAAGCAACCAAGATCTTAAGACGAGTTTATCCATTAATTTCTATGCACATACAGTATTTTCTACCTCGTTATCCAGTCATCCGAATTTTTCCATAACCCTTAACCCAAATTTTATCCATAGACTTCATCGATGCGCAGGGGTTAACGAAATTCAAAGTTGGCATTAAATCAAACACTTGGAATAGATTCCTAAATCAATCTTTTCTTTATGATGAGGTATTCCGACCATAATATAAGTCACACAACAAATTTTAAACTGTTTATCACATTAAAGAATAGTTTGTTTGTCACGATGCTCATAAACTCATTTGGGTGGCATCACTTATGTGAGGTTCCAAAAAACGGGTTGAAATTAGACATTTATTATAGAAATTTATTAAAACAAAACTAGAGAAAAAACCCATTGTTGAAACCGATCAAAGATCGGATTCGTTGTGTTAGTCATATGAAACCGAGACGAGAAAAAAATTGTTGTATATTTCAAAACGTGTCTTCTTTTCTTTGATTAATTTGTTATCACTACTATATTACTTAGTAGTGATAACAAATTAATCAGAGAGAAAAAATATTATTAAATTAATGTAAGACATGATACAATAAATATAAACGAGCGTCCTCCAGTAGAGATGGACCTTTGACAAGGCGCTCGTATACAAGCAATTAGAAGATAGAAAAATTTTGAAGAGGAAAAAGGTTAATATACAGTATATATGTAATATATAAACTATACGGGAAATAAAAGATTTAAAGTAGGCTATGTATTAATTTTCATTTTGCTTTAACAATTCGATTGGAAAATATAGAAAATGGGGTTAGAATTAGGTAAATGCGGATTTATTTTGGAGAGAACCGATTCAGTCTTTTCATTGTTAATTTTCCAATCGAAACGTTAAAGCAAAATAAAAATTAATAGATAGCCTGCTTTAAATATCTTATTCTCCGTATAGTTTATATATTACGTATATACATTAATATCCCATATGAAATTCGTCTGAATCTTAATTAGAATAATTCGAGTTCATTCGTCTTCTCGTNATCGAAACGTTAAAGCAAAATAAAAATTAATAGATAGCCTGCTTTAAATATCTTATTCTCCGTATAGTTTATATATTACGTATATACATTAATATCCCATATGAAATTCGTCTGAATCTTAATTAGAATAATTCGAGTTCATTCGTCTTCTCGTTTCCTCCATTTTCACACATGTTTTGTGTTACGGCAGTCAACAGAATAGTACAATTGTTAATAAATTAATTTCTTTATTGAACATTAAAAATCGTCGAAAAGATATAATATTATCTATACTTACTATATAAAGAGACAACGTATTTTTCGTTTGTGACCACTAACCGTGAAAACTACTGAACCAATCGTTACCAAATTTTAACTGTAGCATCTTTATGACCTCCGGAATGTTTACCACTAATCAAACCTGCAGATTGTTTATTAATTAAATAAAACTACAATGGATTTTTCATCTAGGGTTAAGGCTTTTTTGTCCAACAGATGGCGCTACGAGTATGACGCCCTAAGTTTGCTTTTCTGTGAGGATGAACTAAAGCAGATCATCTTCTATCTATCTATATAAATAAAAATGTAATGCTCGTTTGTTCCTACCAATTCCTTTGAAATTTTCACACAACACTGCATTTGAATACGCACGTGTTTTTATATAATATATATGTCGAAATTCCCCACTGGGGGAGATGAACAGGATTAAAGCTTATTGTAAAGAACTCTGCTTCTATTTCTACTATTTTAGATGCGTTTTTTTGCGTTTTTCATTGCGTTTTAATAGGATATATCAACAGAATATACACTAAAAAAGGATTTTTCAATATTCCCCCCGTGGGGGAGAGAGACAGGATTAAGGCTTACCTTGAAGAACTTGGCTTCTATTATACTATTTCAGATGTGGGTTTTTGCGTTTTTGAACGCGTTTTAATAGATTACGCCAAGAGAATGTACACTAAGAAGAAATTTTTCGAAAAATTTCCCCCCACACGGGGGAAGTGTTATACATTTATAATAGATACATTTTGAGCCACAGCAACGCGTGGCCGGGTCTGCTAGTATATAATAATTTTAAACATTCATTTATAACTTTGAAAGAATTAAAACAATCATTTTTGCATTGGAAATTTACAGTTCAGATTAGAATAGGAATATTTCTTAATTAATGCTAGTTCTGTTTTCAAAACAGTCGCTCATTTTTTTTCAGAATGGATAATTTCAAGGAATTGAAGAAGTGGCATAAATCGGGCCATGCCGAGTCCGAGGATGGCGCCTCGTCTTCGCCTCGTGTAATACGGGTGCTTCCGAAAGATTCGATGGAGGAGTCGCATATACCCGACGTCAAACGGGTGGTCGTTATAATTCCGGACGACAGCGCCTCGCCTCTTGTCCGTTATCTGGAGCGGCGATACTCCCAAAGTCCGGAATAGACGGTGGAGACACGGTCACGCGAGACGGACTCGACAGAGAGAAATCCGAAGAAGTGATAGAAAAATCAGTCGAAAGTAAAAGGTCTTGGTGGAAAAGGTTTTTTTTCTGCTGGAAAGAATAACCTTCTTTCTGCGAAGCCTTCTTGCACGGACTTCGACTTTCCACCGAATGTGACACAGCCAGTGGCGTAATGTAGTGGGGGCGGCAAAATTTCACAATAAATAATAATAATATCTTGTAAAAATTTGAATCATTTTTTTTTTCATATTACGGTCGCACCTACAGCTACGATTCGGACCGATTGAAATGAGCACGGGGAATAGAGTTACCATCCGAACAGCCCAGGAATCGACTCACCGTCTGGATGAACTATTAATTTTACCCGGCGATGCCGTTCGCAACCTGTCGACCTTTTTTTTTGCTTGTACGATTCAACCGTATTCACATACACCTCCAATATCCAATAGAGCTAAGTCATACGTTAATCCTATCCAAGTCTTCCTAGTCACTAACTGTAACTGATTTAAAACCGCCATGCACTGCACATTATTCTTCGCATTGCAAAATGACATACATGCGTCAGGAACTTCTGTTCGAACAAACCTCACTTGCCGTCCGGGTCAGCGATTTTAAAAAGGTGCCAACATTAGCGCGGAATTTTTCATTACTTATTCTGTGACGAAACTGAATTTTAGTCTTTTAAATTGAGATACCTAAACAAGGGGACGACGAAATTTTCCTTTGCCCCGGGCGGCTGACACCCACGCTACGCCACTGGATACAGCTACCCGGAAGTGACCTTTCACTCGGCTACGACTTAATCAACTGAACTTCTCTTTCCATTCCAACGTATGGACGGATATTTTGACAACATTCGAGATTCGTTCTTACACTTTGGTTAAAGTGCATAGAACAACGACAGTGACTTCTACCGTGGCAAAGTGACAACGAAACATTAATTAAACACTAGAACACTGCCTAAAGTTAAAGACTGTGTTTAAACGACTATAACTGGTCAAGGCAACTTATAATAGGCATATACAGACTGTATTTCAACCGATGTTCTTTCTATTAGAAAATAACGGATATTGGTCACTAGAATGCACTAAACGTTGAACATCTCCACGTTGAACTTTAACCAAAAACACACATTGCAGTCGATGTATGTCCAAAGCAGAATTGTAATTATTTCAACAATTAAAATTGTACATGGAATTTTCATGATTGTACTGTACATAAATTCTCACATCTGTACGTAAATGTGAGAATTTAATAAGTTTTATTAAATTCTCACATTTAATAAAACTTATTAAATTTCACGTTAGACTGTTTAAAAATTCCATATTTATCGAAGTTGGGCATTTCTACATTAATTTATAATTGTGTCTAGGCAGGGCCGGATTAATCCACTTTGGGGCCCTAGACATTTTCTTCTTCCGGGTACCCTCCCGGCTCTTTCAATTAATAAATCTTGTTACTATTATTTGTATTAAATTTCATACGGACACTGCAGCTGCTTTATAAAAAATAAAAGTAAAATTATTTAACAATATTTCACAGGATTCAAGAATACATATAGTTAATATTATTCTTATCGCTATAA